GGGTGAGAGAAATGGTGCCCTCGCCAGTAATTGGAGAGGGCAAACCATTAGCACTAGTTCTGTATGGGTCACGGGTGTTACTAGACAACTCATCAAAAAATTTAGCATTATAAGTCATATGATCAGAAGCACTAGTGTCAATTATCCAAGTATTAGAGCCAGTACCTGGAATAGAGTCAGAAACATGCAAATTTGCAGAAGCAGCAGCAGCACCAATAATAGAATTATCACCCATGATTGTAGCAGAAACTCAACAAATCACGCAGGGTATACAACAGATCACAGCACAGACACAAATATGGCAGATGCACGAAGACAACAGAGGCACAAACACAGTAGAGGTAGATGCACGAGCACAGTAGAGGCACGCAGTAAAGGCACGAACACGACAGAGCACAAGGCACAAACACAGTAGAGGCAGATGCACGAACATAGTAGAGGCACAAACACGACAGAGCACACAGCGGAACACGGCAAAGGCACAGACACAAGAACCCTAAAAGAAATTAGGGCACACAGTAGAACACGGGTGGGCACAACACACACAGGTCACCAGAAAGTCGGCTCTGATACCAAGTCAAACAATATGGGTAGAATATTTTCAGATATATTTCATTCTCCGGAAGGAGGTATTTATAATACAGGTTACAAACCCTAATAGGGTTTAATTAGGAAATAAGTGGAATCCTAATTACATAATATCTATACAAAAGGAAAAATAAATAAAACCCAAATAGAATAGGATATATTCTACTCGCCAACACGTTTCAACTTTTGGGATAGCTCAGGTCACTGGGGAAGTTTTACCCATAATTGCCATACTGTTATTGGGATACTTCCCTTTACAGTCGGTGTCCTTTGTGCTATATTTATTCTTATTGATTTAATAAAATAATTATATCGTCTTTTTATCAAAACAGTTAAAGAGATATTATTGAGGTTTCATTTCCCTAGTCTTAATGAAATCTTATTATCTCATACCTGATTTGTTTAACAAATTCAAAGCTTAGTGCTCCCTTCACAAACCCCAAAACCCCAACTCTCACCAACACGAAGGGAAACAAAATCTACATCTTTACTGGTTTAAACTGGACCCAATACAAGGTTCCATATATTCTGCCATGAATACATATCCAGCAATAATAATGGCAGGTAGATTTTAGGGAGGGGGTTTGTTCACCTACCACTCGCAGAATACGAGAGAGATGCATGTGCCTCTCTGCCTTCATTCGATTAGTATGTAGTAGAGTGTAGGTCAACCAAGTAACCACATCCAAACATGTTTCTTGCCCTTATATTAAATACGAAATTATAAAAAACGTTCACTATTTTTTTCACATTCTTTTGTTTAAATCTCTCAACTCAAGTGATAAACATTTCACTTGCTTAAATTTGGATCCACTTGAACCTCGTTTAAATCCCAACTCTTTCCTATGCAATTCAATTAACAATTTTTATTTATTTATCATGAACAGTCTTTTTGTTAATATTATTTTAAAAATAAATGTTGATATTTTGTCAACATTTCCATACCGATTGTTATTTACTTCTATGGGGATATTCCTATCATGTAACAATACTCAATGACAGAACAATTTAATTAAAAGGTGGCATGTGTTCAAAGTTGATGATTGATTTTTAAACGCATGCCATCTTTTAACTTTACTGTTACTCAGCACTGTCACATGATAGAAACAGTTCCACATAAGTTTTTGACCATGAATTATATGGAAAGGAGTTCAAAGTTTAATTTAGGATTTAGGATTTAGGGACCCTAAAAGGTGTCCCTTAATGGAAGGGGATATACATACATGTGTGGGTAGGAATTACGTGCAAGAGAAGGTAGCATCATAGCATTAAAACTATCAAAGGAAAGCAAAAAAGGTGAAAGATACAAAGCAAATTAAGAGAGGAAAATAGAAATTCAAAGATATTGTTGCAAAGAGAAAATTAAGAAAGGAAACAAAGTACACAAGTACCTTAAAAGAAGGTGGAGTTGATTTGTAAAGAACGATGGAAAGCTTGTTCTCTTGATGCACTATGAGTGACGCAGCGCAGCCGCCGAAAAATAAAAGTTCGAAAGAGAAAGAAATGTGAGATGGTTAGGGGAAGATGGGTTTAAGTAGAATGCAAGTGAGTTAGAGTCGGGCTTGGATGAATTAAATTTATATAGTATGCCCAAAATTCTCCTAATTATGGCCCAAGAAAGCCCAAAAGTGATTACATTTAGTTTGTGTTTGTATTAATATAAATCCCGATTAGTAAGTAAGGTATAACTCAGTTGGTTGAGTTGTTCCACCTCCACCTCAACTCTGCATTTGGTAGTCCCTACAACCTATTAGGTGAGTATGCAGTAATTCCTACCAAAATCTAATGGCTGTTATCCTGAAAATAAGAGAGAGTCGAACAGCTTAGATCCCCCACAAAACAAACTACCGGCGCTCAGGCCCTGACAGATTCTACAATAGAAGACCATAGAGGCCGATGATAGACAAAAACTTCGCCCAAGCACAGCTTATAAATGGGGGGAGAAAGTGGTGGCATCAAGTAGCCGCCCTGCCACTTCACAAGTTTCACAATGATGAAAAGTCCCCCCTGTTGAAAGAGCAAGCTGATCGTACGAAGAAACAACAAATGCAGCCCTGTTTTAATCTCATGTAGGAGGTCAATTTTCTATTTGTTTTGCTACTCCATAATTGATCACTGACCAAATTCAACACTGACTTGGCACATACAGAAAAAAAATAAAAATGGTAGCAAAGCTAAATACATCACAAGAACATAGTCATAACACTAAATAATTGGCTTCATAATAGTCACCAGTTAACCTTACAAAGTTAACTTTTCTCGTTCGTCAAACTGAAACTGCAGTGCCACAATTTTAACAAATTATAGATCAGAAGATATTCTATTTTGCCACTGTGGTTTGAAGGGGCAGAGAACTTTCAACTTCCTTGGTGTCGGAACTCCTCTCAGCGACAATCTTTGACATGCTAAACATCTGAAAATGAATGCACAATAATCCAATCAGAATCAGAAGTAAACCAATTAACCAACGAAAACATTTCTGAACAAGCAATATTAGCATTTAATTTGAAGTGGGAGCAAACCTTCTGCACGGTCTTCTTGAAGCAAGTTTTGTGTTCATCCATAGAGGCATGGATAAAGTCATCAATATGATCCTTCACATCCTCCAAAAAACTGGCTTGTTCGCTCTTCTTCTTTCGACATGAAGTGGTGGAGGGGGTTGCAGCAGCAGGGGATGGCTGTTGTTCATGTTGATTTTTCTGTGATTCCATTCTCAGTAACACCTGACCCAGAAGTCAATTGTTACAAAAGATTTGGATGAGATGATTACAATTGAAGACAATGAAAAGCAATAAATTTAAACTAAATGCCAGGCCTAGCTAGCCACAACAAGCCACCGCAAGAAATTTAGTTATCTCATCAAGATACAGGGAAGAAAATTGATGCAAATCATTAGCTTTAAGTGAAAGGAAAAATACTTTTCAGGACTATTTTACGTAAATTAAAAGGAAAAATTAAAAATTTGGAGTGGAAGTAATAGATATACAAGCCCTTAGCTCATACCACAAAATCACAAACACACTAGAGCCAAAATGAAATGGAGGGTTCCTTTGATATCTCATGATAGCACTACTATGAGATTCAAAGGTTGTATATCGTTTTAGATCACAAAATGTCCTCAATGTGTTCATTATTATCACAACCTCTATAGCCACATCTGTGCAACAGGGAGGACTATCTTCAAAAAAACTTCAAAAAAGGAGAACTTTCCTTCCATAAGAAAAGCAAACAAAAGAAATCGTCAACTTCTTCAGTGGTGTTGGGCTTGTGATGCATGAACAAAACTATTTTACATCTTATTAAAAGTGGGCAATCACTAATACAATTTTATTTAACATCAAGCACAACTGATTTTCCCTCATCAATCACAAAATCAAGAGAGCCTAAATACCAACACCCATAACAAGGAGCATGTTCAATTACCAAGACAGTCTGAAATGTTTAGCATTTTATGATATCAGACTGTGATCAGGTAGATTTTTGTTGAACACATGGTCCAGATTGACCGTCACAACAGTTCGCAAGCATGCGGACACACACACAAGCATAATACAATGCCACACAAACAAGTTTCAGCTCCACATTTATAAATCTAAAAACCGCACTACGAGTGTTTGAAGTAATGCCACAATGAAGCTATCACAGAAACACAACAAAATTACAGAAATATATCTGATTCAAAATTAAGGTAAACGAGAAGTTTATTCATCAGAAATTGGTAACAATTGTTGCTAAATCAATGGCAAATTCTGCTTTCTATGGGCATATAATTGGCACGCAAAACAAATATTTAAAATTAAAAAAAAAATCACAGCGTCGAAAACAAGAACATTTCAACAATATTAGCTGATAAAAGTAGAATAAAAGCATCAAGTTCAGAGCCGCCTACCTTTGATTACAAAGAAAACTAGTGAAATTGTAACTTGCAAATAGATTGAGAAAATACTTTTTGTTGTTTTGAGAAAAAAGAAAAATGAGTCTTGTATTTATATCTGGTTGGTACAGGGGGAACCGCCATGAGTTAGAGTATTTGCCAAGAAAACGGAGGAGGTCAGAGCCCGTTGCAGGATTGAAACGTGGCACTAAGTTATTGGTGGTAAAGTCACAAAGCCAAACGGGAGTACCGTCTGCCTGTTGTGCAAGTTTTCTCTTTGGGCTTTCTTGATATCAAGCCCCTTTTGTTGAAGGATAATGGTGTTTCTTATCAGTGTTGCTATTCACACCTGAAAATTTGATCATCACACTTGGTACCCAATCTTTTTATTTTCCTTAATTCTTTTTTAGTTTAAATTTTGAAGATAATTATTAGGGTTATAGACTGATTTTAAGTCTATTGGTATTTCGCTTTTTAATGTTAGAAGATGTCTCAAATTCGAGTCCAATTTTCCTGTTACCAAATGCCCTGTGCCACCCTGTTTCTCTCCTAAGTTTTTGACATGTGGCAAACCATTTAACATCACTTTTAACACTGTTAACTTTGTTAAGTCAACCTCCCATCATCCCATCGAGCCCAACTCCACCTTTCCCTAGCTTGTCGCCAGCCAACCTAGACAGAGAACCACCCAACCCAATTATGGCAGCCCACCTTTTCCCTCCCTATCTCAACCACTCGTCTGGTCCAGCTGATAGAAGCATTAGATTACATGAATTATTTTTGAATATTTGGGTTTAATTAAATTTGGGTTTTGAATTCTACTACAATATGAATTAATTTTGATTTCATTTCTCCTTGAATTTGGGTGGGTTGAGAAGTCTTTTGGATTTTGTCACTGGGCTGCTTTGGTGGCAGTGATGGATGGCCGGGATGAGATGGCTGAAATATTAAAAGTTAACTTCCAACAAATAAACTCCAATAAGCAACCCCACATGAAAAATCTTTTGACAACATCACTGACAACTCCAAGTAGTTATCATCCTCAAGAATAAACATAGCAACGTTCTAACTAACAAAGTTATATAAATAAATTTCCTCCAAGCACGAATAAGTTAAGAGAACACCATATTTCAATTAAAATCAAGGAACCTGGTATAGATATGGTGAAATCGTACAAACTCAAATGAATATTCTGACCCAAAAAAATCTAAAAAATGCATGATTCGAAAACAAAGAAGAGATAATAGGACAGATGGGGTCAGTGGTGGACCTGTGCAGGCGCAAGGAGGTGCACCTACACCTCCGGTCGCCGGAAAACTCCATAACAGCTGTTGGAGTTGCACCTCTGCTCAGACCAGAGACGCACGCAACCTGTTCGATGAAATGCGCAAGAGACCTAGGTGTTGCGCTACTGTCTGCTGCGCACTGCGCCTTTTTTTATTTATATTTTTTTTAATGAAGCCTGGCCAAAACGGCGTCGTTTTGGACCAGGGTTTATATATATATAAAAAAAGGGAAACAACTGGGCCATTTCGTGGGCTTCTATAGGGTTTTAGTTGGGTTTTTTTTTATAATTCTTGCTAAATTGGGTTTTGATTGGGTTTTTGTAATTCCTCACTTAATTGGGTTTTAATTGGAAGTTTTCTTTATTTAATTGGATTTTGGGAATTCCTTATTTAAGTGGGATTGGGAATTCTCCTTATATAGGACCAATTTTACATCACCCAATTTCATCAAAGTGTGTATGCATCACAAGAATCATACGTTTTTCTTTTTCTTCTTGAGTATGCCAATCCAAAGTAAGTCAGATGCATATATATTTTTTCTTGAGCAAACGCCGATTTTGTTTTTTCTTTTTTTTTCTTCAACAAATATGTGGTGTTGCGTTATGTGAACAAAAATGGGCAAGTAATTGAAAGGTTTGTGGGTGTCCAATATGTCTATGATACGACTAGTAGCAAATTGAAAGAGGCAATTGAGTAGTTGATTTCTTCAACAAATTTGAGCATGTCCAGGCTACGAGGACAGGGGTATGATGATGCTAGTAATATGAGAGGTGAGCTCAATGGTCGTAAAACACATATTTTGAGAGAATTTCCTCAAGCATATTATGTCCATTGTTTTGCACTACAACTAGCTCTTGTAGCCGTGGCAAAGGGAAATGAAAACATTGCTACTTTCTTCACAACGGCTAGTAGTGTCGTTAATATTATTGGAGCATCGTGTAAGTGTCGCGACGCACTTAGAGAGCAACAACAAAAAGACATTATGAAAGCTCTTGAAATTGATGATCTTGAAACGGGGCAAGGGTTAAATCAAGAGACTACTCTCAAACGTTCTTGTGATGATACACGTTGGAACTCACTTAATATAGGGTTTTAATTGGGTTTTTTTTATAATTTTTGCTGAATTGGGTTTTGATTGGGTTTTTGTAATTCCTCACTTAATTGGGTTTTAATTGGAAGTTTTCTTTATTTAATTGGGTTTTGGGAATTCCTTATTTAAGTGGGATTGGGAATTCTCTTTATAAATGACCAATTTTACATCACCCAATTTCATCAAAGTGTGTATGCATCACAAGAATCCTACGTTTTTCTTTTTCTTCTTGAGTACGCCAATCCAAAGTAAGTCAGATGCATATATATTTTTTCTTCAGCAAATGCCGATTTTGTTTATTCTTTTTTTTTCTTCAACAAATATGTTGTGTTGCGTTATGTGAACAAAAATGGGTAAGTAATTAAAAGGTTTGTGGGTGTCCAATATGTCTATGATACGACTAGTAGCAAATTGAAAGAGGCAATTGAGCAGTTGATTTCTTCAACAAATTTGAGCATGTCCAGGCTACGAGGATAGGGGTATGATGACGCTAGTAATATGAGAGGTGAGCTCAATGGTCTTAAAACACAGATTTTGAGAGAATATCCTCAAGCATATTATGTCCATTGTTTTGCACATCAACTACAACTAGCTCTTGTAGCCGTGGCAAAGGGAAATGAAAACATTGCTACTTTCTTCACAACGGCTAGTAGTGTCGTTAATATTATTGGAGCATCGTGTAAGTGTCGTGATGCACTTAGAGAGCAACATCAAAAAGACATTATGAAAGCTCTTGAAATTGATGATCTTGAAACGGGGCAAGGGTTAAATCAAGAGACTACTCTCAAATGTCTTTGTGATACATGTTGGAACTCACATTATTATACTTTACTTAGTATTAATATTATGTTTCATCATGTGGTGAAGGTGCTTGAATGGATTGTTGATGATGTCAACCAAGATAATTTAGGTGAAGCAAATAGGTTATTGAAAGAAATACAAACTTTTGACTTTGTGTTTCACCTATATTTGATGAGATTTATATTGGGAATCACAAATGATTTGTCAAAGGCATTACAAAAGAAAGATCAAGATATTGTGAATGCAATGATGTTGGTCCAAAGATGTAAGCAAAAGCTACAATCTGTGAGCGATGATGACTTTGATGATTTGCTTGGCGAAGTATCAATATTTTGTGGCAACAATGATATTGATGTTCCTAACATGACCTCAAATGCAGGTAACTATTCTTAACCACTAAAGGATCAATAAATCAAGTCATGTGAAGAGTCATTTTATAGTGAGGCTCTTATATATGACCCTTAGGTGATGTCATATCTCTTAACCATTAGATCAAGCTAACCAATTTGATCCAACGATTAAGAGATAGGACCTCACTAAAAGACATATATAAAGCCCTCATTATAGAATTCTTGGTCATGTGAAATCTCAAGTGGTAGGCCCATTGTGTAAAATATATAACGCACGAAACATCTTCCACAAGATTATCCATCCAGAGGATATCAGCGACCAAAATCTAAATGATTGAAAACCTAAATGAGCCATATGATTTTTGCGTTTTTATTTGAACTTGAAAAAAGTGGTCAACACACTCATCGTTTAATGAATTATTATTATGTTATTTGCGTGAACTTCATTTCTTTGTCACTTTGGAACATTGACTTCCGTGAGAAGTGCAACTGTATTTACGGGTCATGTGTCTCTCTCTCCCACATGACTATTGTTTCAATGTCATTTTAGTCCCTGAAGCTGAAAAATGCTGACTGATGAGAAAACTTGAGAAATTCTTAAGAGAAAAGAAAAGAAAAGAAGAGTGTTATTATTTCCATAATCTGTCTTATTTCTCTATCCATTTTATCTTTTAAAAAAAAGCATTAGATTTCTTGGATTTTCTCAGATCTTATGACAACTCGAGATGGAGTTGACTCTAAAGTATTTTGATTATCCATCCATAACAATAATGAGGTTGTGGAGTATGATCTAATCATTTGCCCAAGCATGTGCTTGGATATGGTGGATGATTAGAATTTGACCTTAAATAAAGTTTTCTAGGGCTAGTTGTAAATTTGACTCAAACTTTAATTCTGTCTTTATTGATTTATTGTTGCTTTTATCTTCATTGGCTCATTTAATCCATTCAATTATCATGTATTTAGACTACCGTTATTATCATCCTTAAGCATATACATATATGTGCACCAAAGTGACATATGAATTAGAGAAATTTAACAACTCATTATACTCATAACATCTATATTTTTCCGTAAAGAGCTTGTAGCTCAAGTAGTTAAGAGCAGTTATTCATAACACATCCTTATCCTCTTACTTGCTTGTATAAAAAATAAAAAATAAATTCATATTCTCCCTTTTCTCCATATTATTTATCCTCATTCAGATTTGCGAGTTTCGTTCCTTAATCCGAGCACCGGCTGCACGAGGGTGAAATCGGTTCTAAGCTCTTGCGGCTCTACGATTGCTTAAGTGGCTCTTCAGATGCCTCAAGTGGTGCTTGAACAACAATAGAAGATTATAATGTGGGACTTAGCAGGAGAGTGCATGCATGGTGTGAGAGCTAAAAGCTCATAATTTTAGCAATGGAACCGAAGTCTCTTCAAGGTTTAGCCTAAACCCTCTCCTGGTGGCTTGGCGCTACAAGAACTTTGGATGAAGTGGCAACTCCATAAGCTCCTAAATGTGAGGAAACATAAAGGAACTCATTGTGACTCTCATTATCATGAATGACTACTATTTCGATATTATTTAAACAATTACAAATGATATTTTGAGCTCATAATTTAACTTCATAGTTTTTTAGTTCAAATTTTACTTGAAAATAAGGAGCATAACTAGAAATGCTCTTAGGCCATTTATCATATTTCACCCAAAAAAAATAAAAATAAAAATATATATATATATGTTTTTATTTATTTAATTTAATTTAAATAAATTATGAATGTACCATTTTAACCCTATTTAATAAAATGTCGGAAGGTAGAGAGTAAACAATTTTCTCGTCAAACTCAAGCATCCCATTGTACTTGACACACATATACATACATAGTTAAACTCTTTTTTTCGAACAATTTTCTGGCAGTTCCAAAGTCAAGACGTCCAGAGAAATCGCTTTGAAGCTTCCGCTCCTCTCTCTCATTGTGTTTCTACTCGACACGTCCAATCACCTCTCATATATAAAATTCCTATCAACCCTCAACTTCTTTCCTAACATTTTATCAATCAATCCTAAATCTTCGACCAAACAGAGACACAGGCAGGAGGGGTAGCAGAACCAAACGCAAAAAAACAGACCAACCCACTCTCTCTCTCTCTCTCTCTCTCTCTCTCTCTCTCTCTCTCTCATCAACGTCACAATCTTCATGCTGATGCTATGCATTCACCTCTCTTGTCTATAAAATCTCACTTGGTCGCTGTTATTGTTGTATGAAACTATCAACCCTTCTATTTCTTCACTCAGATCCCTCTTCTTCACCTTCGCACTTCACTCTGTTCACCATATATATAACCCTCTGAAGCCCCTCCACTGAAAACCCACCTCAGAAAACCCCATAGTTTCAAACCCATGTGCCTATTTCGCAGACCCATCATGAGCTCTGGGCCCATTGTCAATGGCGGAGTTCAGATCCACCAGAGCCGTAGATTACCAGACTTCTTACAAAGCGTGAACATGAAGTACGTAAAATTGGGTTACCATTACTTGATAACCCACCTTTTGACTCTCTGCTCAGTTCCTCTAATGGCGGTCGTTGTCATTCAAGCCTCTCAGATGAACCCAGATGACATTCACCAACTCTGGCTCCAGCTCCAGTACAATCTGGTCAGTGTCATTATTTGCTCTGCTGTAATTGTTTTTGGATCCACCGTTTACATTATGACCCGCCCGAGATCCGTTTACCTTGTGGACTATTCGTGTTACAAGCCGCCTTCGCATTTGCAAGCGAGATTTGAGGAGTTCATGGAGCATTCAAAGCTCACTGGGGACTTTGACGAGTCTTCACTTGAGTTCCAGCGCAAGATTCTTGAGCGCTCTGGCCTCGGGGAGGAGACTTGTGTCCCTGAAGCAATGCATTACATTCCGCCTAGGCCGTCCATGGCGGCAGCTCGCGAGGAGGCAGAGCAGGTGATTTTTGGTGCTTTGGATAATCTGTTTGCTAATACAAATGTTAAGCCTAAGGACATTGGTATTCTTGTTGTGAATTGTAGTTTGTTTAATCCAACCCCTTCACTGTCTGCTATGATTGTTAACAAGTACAAATTGAGGGGGAATATTAGGAGTTTTAATTTGGGGGGTATGGGGTGTAGTGCTGGAGTTATAGCTGTTGATCTTGCTAAGGAAATGTTGCAAGTTCATGGGAACACTTATGCGGTGGTTGTTAGCACTGAGAATATTACTCAGAATTGGTACTTTGGGAACAAGAAATCCATGTTGATACCAAACTGTTTGTTCCGTGTTGGTGGGGCGGCGGTTTTGCTTTCGAACAAGTCGTTGGATAGGCGTCGGGCAAAGTATAAGCTTCTGCATGTTGTGAGGACTCATCGCGGGGCTGATGATAGGGCATTTAGATGTGTTTATCAAGAGCAGGATGATGCTGGGAAAACTGGGGTTTCATTGTCGAAGGATCTCATGGCAATTGCTGGTGGAGCTCTTAAGACTAACATCACAACATTGGGTCCCCTTGTACTGCCTCTAAGTGAGCAGCTTCTCTTCTTTGCTACTTTGGTTGCAAAGAAGTTGTTCAATGCGAAAGTCAAGCCTTATATCCCGGATTTCAAGCTTGCTTTTGATCATTTTTGCATACATGCTGGTGGGAGGGCTGTGATTGATGAGCTTGAGAAGAACTTGCAGCTTCTACCAGTTCATGTCGAGGCATCTCGGATGACACTCCACAGGTTTGGTAACACCTCGTCGAGTTCGATTTGGTATGAGTTGGCTTATACTGAGGCAAAGGGGAGGATGCAGAAGGGGAACCGTGTCTGGCAGATTGCTTTTGGTAGTGGTTTCAAGTGTAACAGTGCAGTCTGGGAGGCTCTTCAGAATGTAAAACCTTCTCTTCATAGTCCATGGGAAGATTGCATTGACAGGTACCCTGTGGAGATTCTTGTCTAGCAGAACTCAGCCAGGATTTGTTCAGAGACTCAATTTAAAGGAAGGAAACATTGATGGTTTGGTCAACTTATCTTGTTATTTTTACTGCCCCCTTTATCAATAGTTTTCCTTTTTTCTAATTCTTGATTTATTGGGCATGTTATGTGTTATTTGGTCATTGAAGTCATGAGATCCCTCATTCGTGTAGCTCTTGCGCGTTGATGTTTAGATAATTTGTTTTGCCAAATGCTGTTGTACTGTGATTACTATGGTTTCCTGCAGAGCTTTGGAGAGCAATGGAAAAGCTAAATGTATACGGATATCATTTCTTTGAAAGAATTTCAATGTATAAGTTCCATTGTAAAAAATATTAGCATTGAGATAATTAAGAGTCATTATCTTATTCCAGATAAGCATATGGAAGCCAACAAAAGGTATAGTTGTAAATTTTAGTGAATTTTATTTCCAAATAGCTTTCAAACGCTCTCAAGAAACTTCCATATGGCCTGGATTTGGGTTCATGGAAGCCCTCCTTTGTGAACTATGATCAGTCATATCTCTGCTGGTCTTGCAAGTTGAGTATTCCTTGCCTTTGACAAGGATTTATCTTACAGCGACGCAGGTGAGATTTATTTCCATTTTATGTGTATATGGCTTGAAAGTGACATTTTTCCTACTCGTTTCCCCACTGCTGGGCAGTGTTACCTAACTCCTCTTGTTGTCATTCGTTTCTGATTGCCGGTTATGGACATTCGGATTTGTATTCATCTGTATATTTTTTGCAAGTGGCAACTTATTCTTGCATCATTAGGGCACAGGTTGTATCTTCTAATTGCTTCCAAACAATAGATTAGTGTTATTGTAGGGCCTGGCATGACATCTTAGATGTTTGAAGTGAGTTTTTATTGGTAGCAGTTAGAAATGAAACCATAATTGAGTTGTTAAATAGCCTCAGGCTCCTTCTGGTTTGGCTTTAATTGTTCTGTGTTGAACAAAGTTAATCTTTTGACATTTCGTCTGAAACTGGGTTTGCGAAAGCCGACATGAATGAGAGAGCAATGAATCTTCTTTTCTTGTTTGTTACCTGGGGAAAACCAGATTAACCTTGGAAGGAAATAGGCCTAAAAACTTTGTCCTCGCATTGCAAGTGAGGAAAATTAGTGTAAAATGTCCTTTCAACTTTCAAGTGTCTTTACACAGCTGGTAATCCTTTTTGGGTTAGGGAATCTCTCACTTTAAAAACTTGGTATACGAAAGTATATATGCGTTTCCTTTTTTTCTTTATGGTCACAACGTGGAACGAACACAAAAAGATTTTTACAAAAAGGGTTTTCGACTGAAAAGGTCCTCCAATTATTCCTCCAAAAGAGGGAGAATGGAAGTGAGAATGAGAGTGGAGATGGCATTGAGAGGGAAGATGAGATGGGAGGATGTGAGAGAGAAGTAACAAAAGTGAAAACAAAAACTAAAAACTGAAATCTATTTGAAATTGTTTTTACTTTCAAGTTTTTGTTTTCACTTTTGTTTGTCCTCCCTTTCATTCTCCATTCTCATCCTCTTCTCAATCTCATCCTCACTCCCATCCCATTATCACTCTCATTTTCCTCTATACTATAACACAAAAATTGAAAAATGAAAACTAAAAACTAAAATTGAAATGGTTATCAAATGGGCTCTAAATTTTTCATTTCAATAATCCTTCAACTTCCTATTTCGTGTCAAATTGATCATTCCGTTACATTTTCCGCTAAATTGGATCACATGCTCGAATTTTAGGGGTAAACCCCCAATTTCCTTATCACCCATATCTGGCCCGCCCCATTAACAGTCCTCACAAAAAACCCTAGCCACCACCCCACGCCAATTTGCCTAGCCTGCAGCCGCACCTCTCTCTCTCTCTCTCTCTCTCTCTCTCTCCATGTATGTAGAATGGAAACAAGATGAAGAGCAGGATAGTAATGCCATCCCACAAACAGGCCCGGCCCTAACCAGGAGCAGTCAGTGCGACTGCCCTGGGCCCATTATTCAAGGGAGCCCCCAAAAAAAAAAAATTCTAAATTTTTCTTTTTCTTCTTCTTCAAAGGAAAATATGATTTTATTTATTTATTTGTTTGTAGATTTTTCACATCGTTTCTTAGACCTCCTATCCTATCTCCTCCCAATCTGCCAATGACAAGAACTCTTACCGAATTTCTTCCTGATGCCAATGATGATAAGTTCGTTTATGTTTTACTCTTCGGTTTCCTCCTCTGCAAAAAATAACTATGCGTGATTTGCTTTTTTTCTCTATCGATTCCACTTCTAAGTCATTTTAATTATGGGGTTTTCTTGGATTGATTCATTCGAATTCTTTGAATCACTAATATATGTACTATTCTTGGGGTTTTCTTTTCAAATAGAAACCTTGCTTTCCTCTTGGAATTGTTCCTCTGCGAAAATAACCTGGGTAATTTCCTATTTTTCTTGTAAGATGAATCAAAATTAAATAAACATTGTTTTCCATAATTTAGGAATAGGATACTGAGATGAATATGAACTTTTGGAACAAAGGATCCATTACGAGAGTTTTAAAAGAAATTCTTTGATATTGGCTAGGAGTGGACACGGTCCGGTTTTGACCAGTTTTTAGTCAAAATTAGAACCGAAACCGTACTGTACATGCGGTTCGGTTCGGTCTGGTTTTAATAAAAATTTAGTTATTGAACCGAACCAATCTGGACCTGTTCAAATCCGGTTCGGTTTCGATTTTCCCAGTTTGGACCGGCAGACAATCCCAGCTCTTTTTTTTTTTTTTCCCCAAATCTACAATCCCAACTCTATTTTTGTTTTTGGATTTTTCCCAGATCTACATCAGATCTGCAATCCCAGCTCTGTTTTTGTTTTTTTTTTAATTTTTCCCAAATCTACATCAGATCTACAATCTCGCTGTTTAATGAAACCACCCCAAGATCTACAAGATGCTGTCTTGGCAGCATGCTCAGAGAAGGAGAGAGACTCTAGGGAGAGAGCTGAGCTATGCTGGCTCGTGCAGGTAGCTGGGCTCGGATGCATGCGGGGACTGGAGCCAGTGGAATGCGATGGAGGTACAGGGGATGTGCTGCGGCAGCAAGAGGGGGTGAGGAAAATACAAGGTCGGCATCACAGAGGAGAGAAAAAAGAAGAAAAAAAAAGGAGAAGAAAGAGTCGGCAGTACAGAGTAGAGAAAAAGAAGAAGAAAGAAAAAAAAAAAAAGAGAAGAAAAGTTGCAGCCAGGGGAGAGAAAAGAAGAATGTTCGGTTCATTTTTACACATGATTTTTCATGTTATTCACCCACTATTTTGAGTTAGTTCTTGACATTTTATAGCTTTTTACTTCCTTTTTGTGTTTTCTTAGATTTTACCTTGGTTGGGATGAAAATGAGCTAAAAGTGCATTATTAGTTATAAATTCTGTTTTTGTTCATTTTCGTAGGTCAACTTCTTGGCCTGGGATCAACATGCTCTGGTGCTCGGATGAGGTCATGATCTTCATGAGACTTGTTCCAATGGATGTTAACTACAACATATCCAAATTTGAGCTCCATTGGACAAGTATTGCCTATCCAACCAATCCAGCATGTTACCACAGCTCTGGAAATCCGGATTTGGCCAGCTTTTACCTCCCTTGTGTCATCTTAACTTCTTGTTACCATAACTCTTGGTAACAAGGAATTACATTTGTAAAATAGATATTTTCTGAGCTTTTGGCATCTTTGTGAAGTCAAAGCTCCATCATGGCAAGGGGACAATGGGCTAAGGCTTTATCAAAGGTGGTAGTTTTATATTAAAAGGTAAAAGCTGGAAAGGAGGAGAGAGGGAGGAGAAGTCAAAATTGCAATCTGATATTGGGAGCCTTTTGATCGTGGGAAAT